TGTTTGGATTTCCTAATTATATAACAGGCTTCATTTAATTTACCTGTGTTTCAATCGATATGCTTTTTACAATAATATTGTATGTTATCGGGTTATCATTTGACTCTAATAATATTGTATTTTCATATGCAATATTTAATTTTTTAGTACAATTTTGTTTAGCTAAGATATGCACGCAGCAGCTATTGTCAAAACTTAAGGAAAGCATGTTTAAATTAATCCATTCATTAATTAATATAACGACTATATTGAGTTCCCTTTCCAGAGATATTAAATTTATTTCATTTATTATTACAATCGTATCCTCGGCAAATAGAACAGCAGAAGTGTTTCATGAGTCAGAACAGGGTATAAATATTTATAACTTATTTATATAGATCAGAAATAACAGCTGTCCCAAAATCTATCCTTGTGGAACACATATATTGCTTTTTCCTCAGTTTGAAAACTTATTGCTATATTTAACCCTTTTGTTATCTATTTTCTAAATATGAATTAATTAGAAAATATATCTCGCCCATTAACACAATAGTATTCCATTTTAGCTGATATAATACTAGTCCTCACCTGGTAATGAAGGTTCTCACAGATCTGATATCAAATTTTGTGAAGCACTGGATATATTCCTTTAGACTCATCAATAGAAATCACGTCTCCAACAATTTGCATATTGTTGTTTACCTAACCAAGCAACGAAATTTCTTCAAGATGTCGTTGCTGGGGTTACTCTTATAAACATTAATACGAAGATACTGCGAACACTTTCTGTAATTCTGTTTGATTTGATAAGGGGATTTGTAAATTCGAACTAATTCTAGTTAATATCTACTAAATATTAGAATTTTCTCTAAACAATTCAATGTTATAATAACAGTTATCACAAGGGAATATATATATTGGGAAGGCAGTGGTAATATTTTCAAAAGGCAAAACTATTTTTGCATGAAGGTCTTTTTGAAGCTCCCACCTTTATTCGAATAGTTCTCTTCAGAAATTTAGAATCACTCATACTATGAGTTCTGTTTCCCCAAAAATCAAACATAAACACATTAAAGTGTGGAAAAAGCAAAATACGCAATTTTGAGGGCTTAAATACATAAGTACTGTTTGAATTTTCTAATTATACAACAGTCTTCATTTAATTTACCTATGTTTGAATCTATATGCTTTTTCCAAGAATTTATGTTATCGAGTTTTATGCACAAGGATTTTACCTCATTTGACTCTAATAAAATTGTATTTTCATATGCAATATTTAATTTTGTTAATAAAATATTGTTTAGCTAAGATATGCACGCAGCAGCTATTGTCAAATTTTAAGGAAAACATGTTTAAATTAATCAATTCATTCATTAATCTAACCTCTATATTGAGTTCCCTTTCCAGATATATAAAATTTATTCATTTATTATTACCCTCGTATCATAGGCAAATAGCACAGCAGAAGTGTTTCATTTTAGCTAATTTAATACTAATCCTCACCAGGTAATGAATTGTAACGATGAAGGTTCTCACAGCTCTGATGATATCAAATTGTGTGAAGCACTGGATATATTCCTTTAGACTCATCAATAGAAAACACGTCTCCAACAGATTGCATATTGTTTTTTACCTGGCAATAGCCAAGATATCTATAACCAAGCAACGAATGTTTGTTCCAACGATCGTTGCTTGGCTTACGATTATAAATATTGTAACGTGTCTGCAATCCAGGAGAGGCACTTCTATGGAAACACCAGAACAGACCGTTGCATAAGAGGTAACAATAGCGATACTGTAACCCTAACAGTGAGCCGTTGTATCGAGAAAATCGAATCTCCACGGTTACGACAAAGAAAGCAACCTCTCCATGGTTATAACAAAGGGTTCGTTACCTATCAGCGGCCAAGGTTATAAAAGCCCAGTTCCGACAACGAAGAGGCCAGTCTTCATCGAACCAGCTAAGAAGCCAGCCGTGATCAAGCCTTCGGAGAAGATAGTCCAGTGCCTCGCCGAATATTGTGAGCAGTGATTGTAACACTGCAAGTGTGATGATTGTAAAGTGTGTGTAAGAGAGCGAAAGGAATAAATTCGCTATATCAAAGAACGGCGTGAACTTATTTGTAGCGTGACACACGAAACACGCTACAATATTAATACCAAGATACTGCCGACACTTCTGAAATTCTGTTTGATTTGAAAAGGGTAGCTGTAAATTCGATCTATTTCTAGTTACTATCTCGAACATATCAGAATTTTCTGTAAACAATTCAATATAATTAACAACAAACATCACAAGTATATATATATATATATATTGTAACGTGTTCAGTATGTCACGCGACAAATATCTTCACGCCGTATTGGATAATCGAATTTGTTCCACTCGCTCTTATAATCACACCATTTACAATCTCTCAAATCTCAAATCGCATTATCACCAATACTAACCTGCAATTAACTGATTAGTCTTTGAATCAGAATAGGAACCAGTGGACGGATCTTGTGAACACGGCAATGAACCTACAGGTTCCATAAATTTATCTGAAATTCTGAAGTAGCTGAGCGACTAGCTGTTTCTTACCTCCGCTGCGTTAGTTAATATTGAGATACAAAAGGAGCACAATGTGATCACAATTGGCATGTGTGGCCCCCCTCGCTAACATCAGATTTTACCCTTTATTTGCCGTTCCCGCACTAACTTGTGCGACTTTCGACTGTGACCCGGGATATTATTGCGTACTGGAACGAATTATGTGCAACAAGAAGCCATGTCCAATAAGACCTATCTGTGTTGAAGGTTGGTTTCCAGTATAAACGCTCTGGACCATGTTCATGTCAACTCCAAGTACATATATATGGCCCAATATTTAGTCCATGAGACCTCAGGGCGTCAAGTACACTTCTTACCTGGCCAACTAGAAAGTGTCGGACTAAACTGGCTTCTAGTTAATGAGTCCGGGTGTCCCAGATAACTTTAAAATATTACCGCCATACTGCCTGTCACATCACCGCTGCCAACCTTAGAAGCTGAAGACAATGATTTCGGATATGTTAAAACGACGTGGCATGTATTTTACACTTATTCGGGTCATCTGATAACACGTAAGTAGATGACGTGCAAGAACTTTGGCATATGGTCGGGCATGAAAGTAGAATGCATGGGGAAGCAGCTCCGTTGTGTTGGTACCCGTCTCCGCTACCGGGCTATGTGATCCGCACAAAGCCAGGCAGCGGTATGACCTGCTTCACCTTTCTTCGCCTTGTTCGGGCTACTACGCATGTCAATGTTTGTTACTGGTTCCAAACAACAGAGCAGAGTTTACGAGTTGGAGCGTTTTCAAGTACCAAGGCTTTAATATTTATATTCACCTGCGGTTTGTTTAATGACGCTGCCCACAACTGAGATTATCTAGTAGCAGGGACTGGGCGAGAGTGAACAGTGATTTGGAAAGATGTGGAAGGAAGCGGTAGTGGCACATTTTAATGTATTAATAAAGTATTGCCTGGACAGACTGAAGGAATTTACGGAAACGTAGTCAGGATAATGGATCCACTTGCCGAAACTCGAACCCAACACCTCCTTAATTCAAGCTAATGGCGTCATCGGTTCCAAGTCAAAGACAGATTTACTTTAAAACTAGCAGTTTACTGCCAATCAGTTCATCTTGGCGCCAGTCACCTCGAGACTCACGACCAGACTTCTATTTGCAACGGGACCATAGCCATAGCCCTCATGCAGCATCTTCGGAAGATCGCTCCTCCCTATATAGTCTCTGCACGGGCCGCACAGAAAACACCTATTGTCACAGCTTCTCTTTTTTGCTTGAGTGTCTGTTGTGGCGATCATCTGACCGTTGCTGTGACATTGCGTAGCAACGGACGTGTTTGCAGAGTCATTTGCTAACAACGGCTATCTCTGTCGGCTTTCAGCAGACATGTCACAACAGTATATTCACTTCGACCAGTTTTGTAATATGACGAGCTAAGTGGCTACTCCCAGTAATGGCTTTATGCATTAAATTGTTGCCAGGCAAATAAACAGCAGTGAACATGTGAAATGTGGGCATATTTATGGTTGCTTAACAAAGAGAATGTCACTGGGGAAGGAATGTCGAATCCGGTTTACTTTGTAAGGAAATCTGTGGCAATGAGGGCAACGGCAGTGCTCACAAATAATTACGATGATGAGAATAATAAAAATAATTCCATTATTCTTAATCTGCAGCACCAATAGAGTGAGGGGAGCAGACGTCCGGCTCAGTTGGCCCACCTGCGTGTCCTGCAAGCAAACACTGTGCTGCACCTGCAAGGTACTGACTGTATCAGGCTGAGTCAAATAAATGTAAAAGTTTCGCATTGTATCCTGTTTGTATTCACCCTTATCCACTCTTGTCTTATGGTCGACTTTCCGATACAAATACAGAGCAGGATACTGTCACACTGATACGTATCAGGCAGGAACTGAAAGACGCGGAGTGAGGTGTTGATGAAACAACATCCAATTGGAGCAAAAATGACTGTGGCGCCGATCCGCAGTTCCTCTGCTGTATCAGCTGTTCTGCTTGTGTTGTGAGACCATGGCACGTGGGTCTGAATTAGAAACGGTACGTCAGAGGTACTGATATGTTTAGTAGGCAAGTTAGCAGGTAGACAAGCGGGTACAAATTAGTTAAGTTTTGCATATAGTAACACAGTATTACTAGAAAGGAACATACAGATAGCTATCCGTGTAACATGCCGTGGGCGCCCATAGGATTATGAGACGTCGGGGCTCCCACATTTCCTAGAAAATGGGCTCATAACTGGCGCTGTGTTTGTCAGCCTTACACGACGGCCGACAGCACTTTACCTCCAGGAAGATACCTGAAACTTATTTCTGTTAGAGATTGAGTCGACCCCAGGGCCATAGTGCGGCTGGAAGTATTAGGTCAATTGAAACAATCCAGTGAACACATCGGGGATAGAACCCGCGACCTTCTGGTTTGTAGCACAGTGCCTTAAAGCTACCGCGTGCCCCCAATTCTATTTTGTACCTCATGGAAATTGGAAGGTTATTTAACAGTACTGTATCAACTGCGACGAGTTTCGTACAGCTAAGTCAGTAAAGAAATTGACTGCTAATTACACGGCTTGGGTTTGTTTGCCGGAAGAATCAGAGATTTTTCTCTGTTCGCTACACAGCTTCTGCGTCTACCTAGACTAATATCAGAGAAATAACGTGGGATATTTCACAGGTGATTAAGTGGCCATAGCGTGAAGCTGACCAGTTACCTTAATCTGAAGATGAGATCTGTAATATGTGGATATGCTCTCATGCTCCGTATGCACTTTCGTGGCAAAGAGGCTTCGTATGTGTTGCACCAGTTTGTGAGTTTATTTCGAAACATTTTGTGTTGGTTAGACTCATTGCTTCATAAAGGCGCTTATCATTCGTGTGCTGTGCTGTCATTGGCAGGAGGTGTACTTGAGGATTCCACTGAAGGCAGACCAACTGCGTTTTACATCTGTGCCTCTGAGAGCTTTCTGAGAATTTACTTGGCACTGACTCATGTAAACATGATCAGATAAATAAATTCTCGGAATTATATGATGTATATTTATTGTGTACTTTTTCAAACATAAAACTAATGCAAACGTACATAAAAATTCTGTTCTTACAATGTAGAAAACACACTGTGTCCTCATTAGGAAAACTAACCGGTTAATGCTGTTTAAGAAGATAGTCACTCTTTATTGTGAGGCCACGTTACGTCAAGGTTTGACGATTCAGACCTGTAGAAATATTTCGTGGTTTGCCTCAGACTGAGCAATTTCTAGGAATGCACCAGACTCTGACGCAGTCTGCGTTTGCGATTTCCCGGTAATTTTCCGCTGCCATGTCCCAATCGCGGGCGTCTATTCTGTGGCCGTGGTCCCTCACTGCCATTGGGTGTGTTGTGGCCGTCGTCTTTGGATGTACCCTCGCCGTCGGCTGTCCCTGGGTTGTCACACTCGCCGGTGATTGTGTTCTCGCCGACGAAGTTGTGTGCGCTGTCGCCCTCGCCTTCGCTCGTCAGCGGGCGACAGAGCACACAACGACGTCGCCGAGAAAACTATCACCGATGAGTGTGTGTTTACGCTGTCCCCCACGCCATCGCTGATCAGTGGTGTTTCGCTGTCGTTTTTGTCTGGACTGTGGTCCTCGGCTGTCACTGGGCCGTCACCCTCGCCATTGGATGGTCCTTCTCCAGCGAATGTGTCTGGGTTGTCGTCGACGGCTGTCGCTGGACTGTCGTTGTTCGGGGTCACTAGGCTGTCGCTGTCGGCTTTCGCTGGGATGTCACCCTCGAACTTTGCCACGTTCCCTGCGTCTTCGGTCGCTGCTCTTTCGCCGTGGACAGTCGCTGAGATATCACCCTCGACACTGGGTGTGCTGTTGGCCTCGCCATGGCTGGTCAGTGGGCTTTCGCTGTCGTTTTTGCCTGGGCTGTGGTCCTCGGCTATCGCTGGGCGGTCACCCACTCGCCGGTGATATTGTTCTCGCCGTCGTAGTTGCATGCGCTGTCGCCCTCGCCTTCGCTGGTCAGCGGGCGACAGCGCACAGAACGACGTCGCCGAGAAAACTATCACCTGCGGGTGCGTGTGTGTGTGAGTGTGTGTGTGTGCGCTGTCCTCCACGCCGTCGCTGGTCAGTGGTGTTTCGCTGTCGTTTTTGCCTGGGCTTTGGTCCTCGGCTGTCGCTGCTCCGTCACCCTCGCCATTGGATGGTCCTTCTCCAGCGAATGTCTCTGGGTTGTCATCGACGGCTGTCGCTGAACTGTCGTTGTCGGGGGTCACTGGGCTGTCGCCGTCGGCGTTCGCTGGGCGGTCGCCGTCGGCTTTCGCTGGGCTGTCACCCTCGCCCTTGGCCATGTTCCCTCCGTCGTCGGTCGCTGCTCTGTTGCACTCGCCGCTTGCAGCCCTTTCGCCGTGGACAGTCGCTGAGGTATCACCCTCGACGTTGGGTGTGCTGTCGCCCTCGCCATGGCTGGTCAGTGGGCGTTCGCTGTCGTTTTTGCCTCGACTGTGGTCCTCGGCTATCGCTGGGCGGTCACCCACTCGCCGGTGATTTTGTTCTCGCCGTCGTAGTTGCATGCGCTGTCGCTCTCGCCTTCGCTGGTCAGCGGGCGACAGCGCACAGAATGATGTCGCCGAGAAAAGTATCACCGGCGAGTGAGTGTGTGTGTGTGCGCTGTCCCCCACGCCATCGCTGGTCAGTGGTGTTTCGCTGTCGTTTTTGCCTGGGCTGTGGTCCTCGGCTCTCGCTTGGCCGTCACCCTCGCCATTGGATGTTCCTTCTCCAGCGAATGTCTCTGGGTTGTCGTCGACGATTGTCTCTGAACTGTCGTTGTTGGGGGTCACTGGGTTGTCGCCGTCGGCTTTCGCTGGGCTGTCACCCTCGCCCTTGGCCATGTTCCCTCCGTCGTCGGTCGCTGCTCTGTTGCACTCGCCGCTTGCAGCCCTTTCGCCGTGGACAGTCGCTGAGGTATCACCCTCGACGTTGGGTGTGCTGTCGCCCTCGCCATGGCTGGTCAGTGGGCGTTCGCTGTCGTTTTTGCCTCGACTGTGGTCCTCGGCTATCGCTGGGCGGTCACCCACTCGCCGGTGATTTTGTTCTCGCCGTCGTAGTTGCATGCGCTGTCGCTCTCGCCTTCGCTGGTCAGCGGGCGACAGCGCACAGAATGATGTCGCCGAGAAAAGTATCACCGGCGAGTGAGTGTGTGTGTGTGCGCTGTCCTCCACGCCATCGCTGGTCAGTGGTGTTTCGCTATCGTTTTTTCCTGGGCTGTGGTCCTCGGCTATCGCTGGGCCGTCATCCTCGCCATTGGATGATCCTTCTCCAGCGAATGTGTCTGGATTGTCGTCGACGGTTGTCTCTGAACTGTCGTTGTTGGGGGTCACTGGGCTGTCGCCGTCGGCGTTCGCTGGGCTGTCGCCGTCGGCGTTCGCTGGGCGGTCGCCGTCGGCTTTCGCTGGGCTGTCACCCTCGCCCTTGGCCATGTTCCCTCCGTCGTCGGTCGCTGCTCTGTTGCACTCGCCGCTTGCAGCCCTTTCGCCGTGGACAGTCGCTGAGATATCACCCTCGACGTTGGGTGTGCTGTCGCCCTCGCCATGGCTGGTCAGTGGGCGTTCGCTGTCGTTTTTGCCTCGACTGTGGTCCTCGGCTATCGCTGGGCGGTCACCCACTCGCCGGTGATTTTGTTCTCGCCGTCGTAGTTGCATGCGCTGTCGCTCTCGCCTTCGCTGGTCAGCGGGCGACAGCGCACAGAATGATGTCGCCGAGAAAAGTATCACCGGCGAGTGAGTGTGTGTGTGTGCGCTGTCCTCCACGCCATCGCTGGTCAGTGGTGTTTCGCTGTCGTTTTTTCCTGGGCTGTGGTCCTCGGCTATCGCTGGGCCGTCATCCTCGCCATTGGATGATCCTTCTCCAGCGAATGTGTCTGGATTGTCGTCGACGGTTGTCTCTGAACTGTCGTTGTTGGGGGTCACTGGGCTGTCGCCGTCGGCGTTCGCTGGGCTGTCGCCGTCGGCGTTCGCTGGGCGGTCGCCGTCGGCTTTCGCTGGGCTGTCACCCTCGCCCTTGGCCATGTTCCCTCCGTCGTCGGTCGCTGCTCTGTTGCACTCGCCGCTTACAGCGCTTTCGCCGTGGACAGTCGCTGAGATATCACCCTCGACGTTGGGTGTGCTGCCCACCTCGCCATGGCTTGTCTGTGGTCTTTCGCTGTCCTTTTTCCCTGGTCTGTGGTCCTCGGCTATCGCTGGGCCGTCACCCTCGCCATTGGATGATCCTTCTCCGGCGACTGCCTCTGGGTTGTCGTCGACGGCTGTCGCTGGACTGTCGTTGTCGGCGTTCGCTGTACTGTTACCCTCGACCTTTGCCATGTTCTCTCCTACGTCGGTTGCTGCTCTGTCCCACTCGTTGCTTGATGCACTTTCGCCGTGGTCAGTTGCTGAGCTATCAACGTCGACGTTGGGTGTGCTGTCACCCTCGACGTTGGGTGTGCTTTCGCCGTCGCCATCGGTGGTCAGTGGGCTGTCGCTCTCCTTCCCTGGGTAGTAGTCCTCGGCTATCCCTGGGTCGTCACACTCGCCATTGGATGGTCCTTCTCCGGCGACTGCCTCTGGGTTGTTGTCGTCGGCTGTCGCTGGACTGTCGTTCTCGGCGGTCATTG